GGTCTTCGTCTCTCGTTTTTCGGCCGCTGAGTCTTGGACTGTTACACTCAGTTGAGTGTAGAGTGATAGACAGCCCCATTAACAAACCATGCAGCACAAACGGTACGCACGATTTGCTGCACGAAGCCTAACAAATATTTTTTTAAAACGGACGTGACTCAGCTGTCGCACTCCACACACGCGGATGAAACCAACAGATCGATTTCGATGACTCACTCGTAATCTGGTCACGATTCAAGTCACACGTGGGACGGATTTGAGCTGGCGCTATCCAACCCATATCTGGTTTGGACTTACTGTAAACCCTGGTAAACACGGAAACCGAACTTCATGCGGGAATCTAAGTGACTTCAGCCGACGCCCATCCTTAGACGCACAATGCACTCGTTTGCAACACATCTGCGAGTGGACTAAAACTTTTTTAAGCAAAAATGTTCCCCTTTGTTGCATGTGTGCTCAAACTAGAAATCACTCCAATCTACCCTCATTTTATCGCGATTTGTTTTAATTAATCCCCTTTCCAAATTTTTTGACGCGCGTTCGACTTCGAACTTGCTATGCTATGGCTTCAGAAGTGGGGTCACATATTTTTGTTGAAAAATTGAAGCTGTATCCTTTTCATCCTTCGCGTCTTTTGGGAATGCGTTAAGTGAATACATGGGGGATAACTTTGTGATATTTGTGCGTTCATCCAGTAATTGAAGCATCAACGCTATTTTGCCTTACGAATGGGTGTACTACAAATGCAGCAGACGATGTGCAAGACAAACGGAAAGTTGAGGAATCCGAAGAAGCCAGTAAGCTGAGCGCTTCTGCTATCGACGAATAGTACGCGAAGAACTTGCTGTCCAGTCCATTTTTTGTCTGAGGCAGGGGACCCGTTTCTCGATCACTTCTTACAATCCAGAAAACAACCATAAGGTTTTTGTACGTTCGGCTTTTGGTAAATAGACAGCTAACCGAAGAGAAGTTGGGATCCTGCAAGGCCATGATGAAGTACGGAACGCCATCGTATGGAGTACGGCAGTTTGTGGCCGATGAGTTCCTTATCAATCAGGACATTTACAACTACCACTGTTGAGTAAGTGAGGCATAATTGAGTATAATGATGGCAGACGATATGCCTTCGACTCAGGCAAAACTTTGGGAGACTGGACGCGTGCTTGCGCTGCAGTCAGGGGAAGGTCACTATAGCCCCATGTGCTTCTCCAGATGGCAGCAGATAGCATTATCACGACGCTTCCCAAATGTGGTAGATGTCGAGGGAACGCAAGCGACAAACCGTTTTAGGTAAGCTTCTTTGGAGCAACTAACATCTGACCTGTAAACACAAGCTGTATACTTTCCTGATCATGGATGGCAGGAGTACCGGGCGTCCGGTTATGTATGCCTTCGTGGAAAGCGAACTGTTTGCTCCCATATGTAGAATGTCTGGTTTATTCAGGGGAAGGATGGGTGAGCGGTATCCAGTAAAAACTTGTCATGAATAAGTTGGCGGCACAAATGCGGGCAGGGTGAGTCGTGTTTAGCTGCGACGTCATGTTGTACTACTTCCCATTAGAAAAGCCGTCAGGAGGCACACATGTATCACATGACAGTGATGTATTTTTGGTCACAGACATAGTCTGCAAACAGCCGGCACATATCCCACTTTATGCTCGCCTGGACAGTGCGGTACAGTAGGTTTTTATCATAATACGAGCAAACATATTTCGATATGATCTGCAGCTAGTGCACCGCACGGACCCACGACTTGTCTTTTACCTTACAGCCCGCTGGTTGTACGGCACCGGCAAATAGGCGGTGCACAATGCGGGATGACCCACATTGGTAATGTGACTAACAACCATCTGGAGAATGCAAACGGCCGCCTGAAAAACCGGGTGCATCACTCAGATCCACACTGAAGCACACCATACAGACGCCCGGCACGCCGAATGGCTCATGCAGGAATATGAGATGCATACGTCATATAACTGAGACCGACGGGAAATCCTAGATGGCGACGGCTAAGTTCTGAACACTGTCTGTCGAATGAATACGTATCCATGTTCCACTGTTTTGGGGCATTTGGGACAGCGAGTCACAAGGCTGCGCTGTCAGAGTTGAAACAAACAAGGTGAATAACATAGCTCCTGGTGCAAACACCCAGATGCTCCAAGACGGTTGACACCTGTGCAGGAGAAAGCACATGCCCATTCTACCAGGCGATGTGGCTTCCCTGAGACCATTTGTTCTCCGTATTTAGAGACTAATCGGTTATAAACAGTGAGAAATACTCTTTATAGGGTTCTTTTTAGGTTGATTCCGCATCCACCGACGGTGGCTGTCAGATTACCGGAACAAGGTGTACCCCTTACACTTGTCCCCAAGCCACCGCCGATGGCTTTCGATGGCCTGCGTAAACAGCTGAACCGAGTGGTGGATAAGCCTCAGAGGCTGGAACCCAGGAGGGCCACAGCCATCATTAAGCAGTTGATTGTTCAGGGCGAATCCTGCTGCGCCAAGCCTCGACGTATGCAACTGATGGCCTGCCGTTGGTGGTCGAGGATACTGCACCTCAATCCAGATGGCAGTCTGGGGACACAGACTTGGGCTTTTGTGTGCTTTGTGGCTTGTACCAAAGGTGAGTCCACAGATGAGTAATTTATTCTTGGTTCTTAGCCCCCGGCCCGTCCAGAAAACGCAAAAGTGTACTTGCTAACCGGTCCGCAAAGATGGCGTCTTATGATATTGATCTGGACCGAAGCACAGAATTTCAGAAAAGTGTGTCCCGGAAGTCTGTGTGCGTCCGTATTTTCAGCACCAAGGAGCTAACTGACAGTCGTTGTAGAGCACCACTAAGAGGAAAAAGATGGGGACGATTTCGTGTGACTTATACAACGCAAACCAGCTTCAGACTGTTCGTCTGTTAATGGGACCCAATGCATTTCATGTAAGTCTCATATTTCTTGAGGGCTATGGTCAATGGGCACCAAGCTACGAGAAATTGCGCAATGCGAATCAGTCGGTGACAATGACGTTGTGTAAACAAGCCTCTACGAGATTTTCACCGGTGAAGTGTTCCCTTTATAGGGTAAGTGTTGCTCCCAGTTTGTCAGCCGTCTAACCCACAGTGATATTTCGACTCATATCTTGCTCTCATTTCATACAGTCAATAGCTCAATGAACATTACGCTTCCCGGCAGGACGTATACACCAATGAAAACGACGGGTAAAATTCAACTTTTCATGTCGTACATTTTGGACCTTCAACTTTTCCTGGTAGAGATGGATGGGCGCACTTCGGCCAGATGAGTAGGTATCGTGGACTCCTAGCTGCAAGTTAGTCGTGTGCGTCAGCTAGATTCGTTAGGCTGTCCGCTAGATTCGACGTAGGTTCCATGTGGCTAGTTGGTTAGGCATCCTGGACTTCCAGGCGCATATCAGTCATACGCGTCAGCTAGGCTCCTTCAGCTGTCCGGTATTAACAACGACATGGTCGTCCCAGCATATTTTGCCGAATTCTGCTTTTTACCAACAAGCTTGCATAGATCATCTGCAAGCCCTACGTTCTTCCAACTCGCACTATGTACTCGTCAATAATGAATGCGTCTTCCACGCTTATAACTCGGAATAGAAATTATCTAGAATCCTGAACACATAATTCGGTATTTGACCATTCAGGCAGATATAAATAGCAAAAATTATTTGCAGGAGTTGCACCTCTGCTTATGTTGTATTCACCATGTAGTTTTGAGAAAGCACAATGAATTATTTGAGCTGCATAACTAGCTGCGAACTGGGTACATTGCGAGCGTTTCACGTTTGCCGCAATTCGCGATATCTGATTACATTTGGCACCGTTTTCACAGTCGATGGTGATTCATGACCTTGAAGATCTGCTCACTTACATATCACCCATGCGGAACAATTCGTCACACAGACATTCTTCACTATTAAGTGGCAACCTTGAAAACATCGTAGCTTTTGAGAATTCAGTACCATCGTGCGAGTACTGAGTGGCTCAGCCAACAGACAAGGCATATCGATTCACATCCTAGCCGAAACGCACAAAGACATGCATACGCACATGAAACTGACATAAACATATGCTACTGATACCGAAGTAATAGCTCACCTCAGGAACGCCCCAAAGAGAAGACACGATGGCGGAGCCGAAAAGCGCTGTTCTTACACCATATGCATCTCATTGTAAGTAACTTTGAAACAAGTTGCCCACACCACCTGAAATTCCGGATTGGAAACCTTATTCCACGAAAGTCCCCCACGCTTGTGTAGCGCTTAGCTTGACGAATAGAGTAGGTCACGTGACTTAGTCCATTGAGATGTCCATGTCCAGCGTGGATTATTAATGCTACGGGTGTGATAGAACCACCATCTCCCATTAATAGGCTGTAGCATGGAACCTGCTATTCGAGACACGCCTTGTAGGGCTCCACAAACAACCAAAACCAAGCTGAGATGTGGAGAGTCTAGGGGGGTATTGTAGGCGGACAAACAGTGAACAGGTAAACCAGGCAGTAAACTGTCAGGCAAACAGCATGCTTTTAATCAATTGAGGAGTATAAAAGACCTACGTAGACACGGTGTTGCAGAGGCACTCTAATTAAACGTAGAGTTTGAGGATTAATGCCATGAATCATGAGATTCACATCGCTTACAAGCCGGATAAGCCTGATACCACTGGCCTTTATGTATATGCAATGCAGGGTAGATGTGCCTAGTCTTATCTCTAAGGAAACTCATAAATTTCCTCGCCACTTACAAAATCTTATTATACTAGCAGTTTGTCTGAGCAAGCCATGTTCAGATCTGCTCATCTGGGTTGTATGACCGTCGAGTAGCTTTGCACGCTTGCGGAAATATCATCACCATGATACTGCATCACATCAGTTGAGGGCTACACGGATAGGCAGTAATACGCAAGCGACGAAACAAAAAGACCCAGACATGATAGTATGACATGCCGAAATTGCCTCAAAGAAGCAGGTCCTCACCTTATTTTGTGCGGGGTAGAAGAGGCTGATGAGTGTGCTCCCAGGCTTGATCAAACCAACTTCATTCCCGGCAGCACTCCCAGGTTGTTGAATCGGAGCACGAACCTTCAGCAGAATATCACTGTCTGTGTATATTTTTGGAGAATCTCCACTGACTACAGTAGCACCCGCCTGTTCATAGTCTGCGTCCCGAAATTGTGCGCCCAAACCAGCACCCGACTGAATGGAGAGGCGGAATCCTTTCTGGGTGAGGGTTTTTGCCGTCTGGAATAGGTCATAACGGATGAAGTGCACATGAATCAGTTCGACGAAAATGAATCAATTTAACACTGAGCGCTGTTTTGAATTATACTATCAATAAAATAATAAATGCACCACATATCTATGAACCTTGAAATGCGAGTCATCTTTTCAAATGAACGAATGTTCTAGTCTCTCGATGGTATAAACCTGATAAGAACTTTCGGGGGCGACCGCATTAATCTAAATTCAGATTGGGTTATAAAGGTAGGATTTTGTCTTATTCCTTTGAAGGTATATATGCTCTGTAAAAAAACGTACAAAAGCAATAGAAATTGACTAAGGAAAAACCTACTAGTCAGTCTCTGAGACGTTTTAAACTCATGGCGAAAGCTTAAATTTCGCTATGCTCTTCATTATCAACAGAACACTGGTGCTCTACTGTCGTTCAACCATGTCAATTTATTTCAATAAAGCCTTATAAGTGGAGAGAGAAATGGGACAGGAAGGGATTTAGGGAGAGCCCACCGCAATACTCCAACACTTAGTCAGACAATCTGGACAGAAAATGACAGCAAGAACACCACCAAATTCGGTTACTCACCATATTGATAACTGTCTCCAATTAGGCACAAGAAGTGTTACATTGACCCCATCCTGGAAGGCGAACAGTATCAACAGATCTCAAACTATTCACTACTTGAACTCTTACAGACCACTTTCAAAGAATGTGCGCCCCTCAGCATGAGTTTGCACTTTGTGGGCGCGAGCCACGTGCCGAAGGACTGGATGACCTGGGTCAGCTTTTCAAGCAATGCGCTTCCTGCTCCACTTTAGAACTAAGGACAATATAATCTGCGAATTCCAGGCAACAACGTTCTCAATCGGACAGATCCGAACATCGGAGCTTTGTAGACCAAGAGTTTGTCTGATTAGTTCGTCAGTCAGGAAGAAACGGAAATACAGAGTGCACATCCTTGTCGGAAACTACTGTTTGTAGGAAAGCTTTTGGAGGACTCCCTATACAATCCCACGCCCAAACAAGTAGGTGAATACTAACAGCGCATGAAGTTCACGAAGTTCCAGGACATGCTCTGTTCCGTATGCGTTAAGAAGGAGGAAGCTGTCGACAATCAAAAGCATAATTGAGGTCAGAAAATATTAAGTTTGTAGAGCGTCTATACACATGTCATTGCTATAACATTTGAGGCACTGTGAAGAAGTGATTCACAAAGTAAGGTAATGGCTAGAATCCTGCTCCTTGTTCTCATGGCTTATCTTCACGCGCCTTCATGAGATGATGTTCAGTTCAGTTTACTTTATCAGCTTAGAGCAGTGAAGCATCGGTGTTTAACACTGATAACATACTGTTGATGATGATGATGATGATGATGACGATGACGAGTTTACCAGCTATAAACCCTGCAGCGAGTACACGACTGTTCCAACAGCGGGGAAGTTATAGCTAAGCATTGGAGACCATGGTATGTTCACTTAGTTCGAAAAAAAACGGAAAGTTACTCATTGAAGACGATAGCTTCGATGAACGGCGTCACCGATTGTGTCACTAACCAGTGTTAATGATTGGTGAGTTGAGTCCCGGGGTCCCAATCCAGGGAGGCGACAGTTGTCAACCCAACTCAATTTGCTGGTTGGTTGTTTCATACTGCGTTGCCAGATCACACATACACCGTCCACCTCTCAGTCACTTCCAATCAGCAGGAGACTGAGCGAAAAGAGCTCAGAAAGGCAGATGGTCCACTGGCATGTGGTGTCCATGTAATAATCAGCGTAACTCACGAAGTGTGACTCACTCATCATGGGGAGCTTCTTTTTCCTAATGAAATCTGACGCACTTGATATGCGATCTTCACACGAGACCCGACCAGTGACTCGAAGACACCGACCGTCGTTGCGAAGGCAACGTTACTGATCCACAAGATAGTATGGAGAAAACTGCTGTAGTACGTACTCTGCCGTCAATAAACAAAACGATTTCAAGCCGGCGCTACAGATGACGGAGGTTCCCAAAAGTTGTCCTGGTCTTCCTTTGTTGCAGCAAAGGAACAAGGTCGAATAAAACACAAGGCAGTCGTGATATACCTTCAAAGTGGAAGGTACTAGATCCCAGATTACCATATTCACTACCCCAGGGACGGTCCGTCATGCGACAGCACCTCCCTGGGCTGTCGCAGCCAAATGGACAGAGTCCGGCCGCTCTTAATACCCGAAGATCACTTCGACTGGACGGGTGTCACTAGCGGGCTACGAAGACATGCCCTGATCAGTTAGAATATCGAATAATCAGGATCGAGCATTATAGCTAAACGCTTCTTGCTCCACTGAGAAGATCATAGTGTGACATTCCGTGAAAACTGTTGTAACGATCTCTGTCTCTATAAAGGGCTATCTCAACCTACAGTGCTTTATGATATACTATAGTGGGAAGCGTAGAAAGCCAAGAACCGAGTCAAAAGCTGCACCAAACTTTGCAATAAACAATATGCCGCACGTGGTGAACTCAGGCGTAGGTCTACCGTATACTCTTACCCGCCAAAAGGAGAAAACTGATTACCAGACATCGCCAGAGTTTTCGACAGTATAGTCAAAGACAGCTTTCAACTCAAGAAAAATGACCAAGGTGGTACATTTGGAAGAATGGCCCTGTTCAACGACTTGCCTTAAAATAATGATATGGTTCGTGCATTCCCGGCCAGAGCAAAACCCAGCTCGATTATCACGAGCATGTCTGTCACGATAAGCGATCAACCTGCGCAAAATAATTTTAGAAACCACCTGGGGCGGGACGGCTACCAGGCTGATACCACGATGGTTATCACATGACATTCCTCAGCATCCTCTAAATACTAAGCTCACGGTCGAGGCACTCCATCTTACCGGTGAAAGGAAGAAGGCCTTCACTGCTGAGTTATTTATTCGGAAATGCCAACTGACCGGTTACAGACCATTGAACAAGGAAGCAAAACTCTAATCTGCATCTTAGTTACAGAAACTGGACACAGATCTTCTCCCGAACGAGTCTTCCTGGAGATTCATTGCCTCCAATCATTCGTCGATCAAATAAAAGCAAATGTTACAAAGTGGCTCCACGAATTCCGCAACAGAATTCCATTTTCCAATCGAAGCAAAGCGAAATTCTACGAACAACACATACTACTCGCGTGCCTTCCGATCAGTAGTATCACCGTTACACACCTCCACCCCTTAAAGCTCGTCCACATGCCAT